CCCTTTTTCAATATGAAAACAAATGCAATACATTTTTCCTCTATATTTGAGTGGAGGATGTACTTTAAGCTTATGTTCTTTTATTTAAGATGTCAATGTTTTTTTCACAGGATCATACACAGTTCAGGGAATTCACACAGTAAAGAACATTAGTGCCATCTGGTGGTTCAAGACAGAACACTTCCCAAACTAGTGCAATGATAGAATAGGGATTACTGCTAGCCAACAACAAGACATACAGTGGGGGAAAAAAGTATTTAGTCAGCCACCAATTGTGCGAGTTCTCCCACTTAAAAAGATGAGAGAGGCCTGTAATTTTCATCATAGGTACACGTCAACTATGACAGACAAATGAGGAAAAAAATTCCAGAAAATCACATTGTAGGATTTTTAATGAATTTATTTGCAAATTATGGTGGAAAATAAGTATTTGGTCAATAACAAAAGTTTCTCAATTCTTTGTTATATACCCTTTGTTGGCAATGACACAGGTCAAACGTTTTCTGTAAGTCTTCACAAGGTTTTCACACACTGTTGCTGGTATTTTGGCCCATTCCTCCATGCAGATCTCCTCTAGAGCAGTGATGTTTTGGGGCTGTCGCTGGGCAACACAGACTTTCAACTCCCTCCAAAGATTTTCTATGGGGTTGAGATCTGGAGACTGGCTAGGCCACTCCAGGACCTTGCAATGCTTCTTAAGAAGCCACTCCTTCGTTGCCCGGGCGTTGTGTTTGGGATCATTGTCATGCTGAAAGACCCAGCCACGTTTAATCTTCAATGCCCTTGCTGTTGGAAGGAGGTTTACACTCAAAATCTCACGATACATGGCCCCATTCATTCTTTCCTTTACACGGATCAGTCGTCCTGGTCCCTTTGCAGAAAAACAGCCCCAAAGCATGATGTTTCCACCCCCATGCTTCACAGTAGGTATGGTGTTCTTTGGATGCAACTCAGCATTCTTTGTCCTCCAAACACGACGAGTTGAGTTTTTACCAAAAAGTTCTATTTTGGTTTCATCTGACCATATGACATTCTCCCAATCCTCTTCTGGATCATCCAAATGCACTCTAGCAAACTTCAGACGGGCCTGGACATGTACTGGCTTAAACAGGGGGACACGTCTGGCACTGCAGGATTTGAGTCCCTGGTGGCGTAGTGTGTTACTGATGGTAGGCTTTGTTACTTTGGTCCCAGCTCTCTGCAGGTCATTCACTAGGTCCCCCCATGTGGTTCTGGGATTTTTGCTCACCGTTCTTGTGATCATTTTGACCCCACGGGGTGAGATCTTGCGTGGAGCCCCAGATCGAGGGAGATTATCAGTGGTCTTGTATGTCTTCCATTTCCTAATAATTGCTCCCACAGTTGATTTCTTCAAACGAAGCTGCTTACCTATTGCAGATTCAGTCTTCCCAGCCTGGTGCAGGTCTACAATTTTGTTTCTGGTGTTCTTTGACAGCTCTTTGGTCTTGGCCATAGTGGAGTTTGGAGTGTGACTGTTTGAGGTTGTGGACAGGTGTCTTTTATACTGATAACAAGTTCAAACAGGTGCCATTAATACAGGTAACGAGTGGAGGACAGAGGAGCCTCTTAAAGAAGAAGTTACAGGTCTGTGAGAGCCAGAAATCTTGCTTGTTTGTAGGTGACCAAATACTTATTTTCCACCATAATTTGCAAATAAATTCATTAAAAATCCTACAATGTGATTTTCTGGATTTTTTTTCCTCAATTTGTCTGTCATAGTTGACGTTTACCTATGATGAAAATTACAGGCCTCTCTCATCCTTTTAAGTGGGAGAACTTGCACAATTGGTGGCTGACTAAATACTTTTTTTCCCCACTGTAGTTTTAGAATATGCCAGATGTGCCTTATTTGACTTATCTTTACACATTTAGATCTATGTAGTAGGTCCGCTCAGTCAGGAAAGATCAATGAGAGAAACATTTTTCTAACTGTGTAGAAAAGCATGATCTGCCCAGTTGGTTGATGATGCACATGACTGGCTATTTGGTTGACCATCAAGTACAGACAAAGATTGTAGATTTGCATCGTATTTGCAGTGTACTATTCTCGGACACCCAGAATTAAAATCTCACGTAATTGCGTCAGATGCTCAATTAAGCATCACATTCTCCTGCTCAGATGTTGCATGCATCAACCAATGGTTGTGTGACACGTCATCGATTGACAGATTGCTATAACATATCAAGTTTCAAGTTTTATTAGTCGTATGTACAGGATACACATGGTATACACTATCCAACTAAATGTTTACTTGCAGATTCCTTCTCGACAATGCAATAACAATAAGATATAATAAAATATATGAATATGAACATAAAGTAAATGGCTCAGGAGAATAGAATAGATATTTTAGCACTAGTAAAATACAGGAATGCATCATTTATAGTACAATATTTACACATGCATCAGGGAAGGGGGTAATGGGGGGCAAGTGTTTAAATTGTGCTGTGTTAGCAATAGTAATCAAGACTTTGGTAGCAGCAGTTGTGATGTGTGTGTGTTTGTGTTGCATGCGTGCGTGCGTGTTTGTGTGTTTGTGGATGTGTGGATGTCTGTCTGGGTGTGTGCCTGAGTGAGTGCATGTGTGCTAAGGTGCAGTCAGTGCAAGTGGTCAGTCCAGTTTGTGTTCAGCAGTCTGATGGCATCTAGATAGAAACTCTCTGAGCCTGTTGGTATCGGACCTCTTGACACCGTCTGCCTGAAAGGGAGTGAACAGCTCGTGGCTGGGGTGTGTGGGATCCTTGATGATGCCGTGGGACTTCCTCAGGCACCGTTTCAAGTAGATGTCCTGGATGGGTGGGAACATGGCCCCAGTGATGTACTGGGCCGTCTTCACCACCCACTAAAGGCCTTGCGGTCGTGGACGGAGCAATTATCGTACCAGGCTATGATGCAACTGGTCAGAGCGCTTTCGATGGTGCAGCGGTAGTATTTGGAGAGGACCTGTGGTGGTAGGCCACATTTCTTTAGCTGCCTTAGGAAGTAGAGGCGCCTTCTTGACAACACGTTGGTCCATGTCAAGTAATCGGTGATGTGGACGCTGAGGAACTTAAAACTGCTGTGGATCGGGGCGTGTTCCCTCCTCTGCTTTCTGAAGTCAACGATCAACTCCTTTGTTTTGCTGACATTGAAGGAGAGGTTGTTGTTCTGGCACCACAATGCCAGTTCACTTACTGTACCTCCTCCTTATCAGCTGACTTGTCGTTGTTGGCTAATTGGCCTACAACCGTGGTGTTATCAGCAACCTTAATGATGCAGTTGGTGTCGTGCAAATCCACACAGTCGTGGGTTAACAGAGAGTACAGCGGAGGGCTGAGGACACAACCCTGGGGGGGCCTGTGTTAAGAGTCAGCGTGGAAGAGGTGTTGTTGCCAATCCTCACAGCCTGTGGTCTGCCCATCAGGAAGTCCAGAATCCAGACCTAGGGCTCTGAACTTGGTGATGAGCTTGGAGGGAACAATAGTGTTGAATGCTGTACTGTAGTCAATGAACAGCATTCTCACATAGGTGTTCCTTTTGTCCAGATGTGTTAGGGCTGTGTGAATAGCGATGGAAATGTAATCTTCCGTGGATCTGTTGCAGCAGTAGGCTGCTGGCCTTGATGTGGGCCATGACCAGCCTCTTGATGCACTTCATGATGACACGGGTGAGTGCGACGGGACGATAGTCATTTGGGCATGTCACCTTGGTTTTCTTGGGCACTGGGACAATGGTGGTCTCCTTGAAGCAAGTGGGGACTACAGCCTGGACAGGGACAGGTTGAAGATGTCTGAGAAGACGCCCGCCAGAAGACAAGGCCAGGGATGCCATCTGGGCCAGAAGCTTTGTGAATATTCACTCTTTTGAGAGCTTTCCTGGATGGCTCTGTATTGTCTGTCTCGAAGAGAGCGTAGAATGTGTTAAGCTCGTCTGGGAGGGAGGCTTAGGTGGGCACCACACAGCTGGATTTGCCTTTGTAGTCTGTGATCTTGCCACATGCGTTGTGAGACTGAGTTGTCGAACATCGATTCAAGTTTGAGTTTGTATTGACTTTTTGCGTCCTTAATGGATTTGCGGAGCTAGTACCTGTTTGCCTTGTACGCGTCTCGCGCCACCGAATTGTCAGGATTTGTTCTGCTGACATTGAATGCTGGAGTACAGGCTCTCAGCATGGTATGGATTTCTTCTTTCTACTGGTTTTTGGTTGGGGTATGTCCGGATTGTGGATACATCATCAACACATTTCCTAATGAAACCTGTGACTGATGTATATTCCTAATGGAAGAGTCTTTGGTGGATAAATCTTTGAACATATTCCAATCAGTATTCTCAAAACAGTCCTGCAGCATTAAGTCTGCCTCCTCTGTCCAGCCCCTCACTATTATCTGTGTTGGTGGCTCCCTCTTCAGTTGCTGCTTGTAGGTGATGTGGTATGATGTGGTTAGCTGATAAGTTAAGTACCTATCCAGGCGTTGTAAGAACGTGTAGGCATCAGCAACGCCTGAGTAGAGGAACACGCCCAATGGTCGCATTCCCCTGCTCAGACGTTGCATGCATCAACCGATGGTTGCGTGCCACGTCATCAACTGTGTCATCGACTGTTGCCACGTTCACGTGCTAGTCGGAACTAGGAAACTCTGAAATTTCCGACTTGCTAACTGGTTGTAGTTGTACAAGTGCTGCATTCAACCAGTTAGCAAGTTGGAAATTTCAGAGTTGCCGTGTGAACGCGGCAAAAGTCATTGACCGTGTCATCGACTGTGTCATCGATTGTGGGACTGTGTCATCGACTGACAGATTACTATTACGTATGATGTGGTTTGCTGATACTTAAAATACCTATCCAGGCGTTGCAATATCTGGCATACGGCAGCAACACTTGGGCAGGGGAACGCGCCCAATATGTTACTTGCAGTTGTCCAAAGTGTACTGTCACTTTAACAGGCGGATGTTATATGTAAGAACTCCAATCCCCAGAATGCACAGCGGTTTGCGTCCTCGAACAAAAAGCGGAAACAAAAGAAATCATACATTTCTTGAAACTAATTTTGGTGAGCTGAACCGAGAAACAGTCATACAACTGACAGCGTCCAGTGTTACACCATTCATCTAAAGCAGGAGGGCTGACATGGCTTTGAAAAGAATACAGAAGGTGAGTGTGTCCATAAATGTTTTTACGTCGTCATGCTATTAAGCGGTTGGTCGGTGTCCTGACACAAAAGTCCACGATAGCATAACGTTAGCTGCGTATTTAGTTAGTTAGCTAGTTACTTTGGTAACAACGGTTTAACTTTTCAATTACTCGTCACTGAAGAAATACTACATTTTCATCGCGGCAAACATGATAATAGAACTAACTGTTAATTTTTTAACTTGTCAGGCTGGCAAATTAAAGATAGCTATCGGTCTGTTTAGCTAGTAGCTATCGGTCTGTATGTTCTGTGCTACAACTAGCTAGCCTAGTTAACGTTAGCTACCAGCATAAGCATCAGTCAATCAGTAACTAATTAATTATCAATCAGTAACTGGCTAAATTAACTAGCTGTCGGTGTAACTTTAGTTAGCTAGATACATTGGCTAACTGGCCAGCTATCAAGCTAGCTATCGGTAGTTATGTCGCTGTTCTGGTTATTCCTGTCTATGATGAGCAATGGATGCGGGCCTGAATAAAAACGCTTCTGGAACCGCGATCATCACGAGTGGCCTATTGTATATCAGCTTGGTTGACTTTAAGTGTATATTTCAACATAACATATCGGTAATTCGCCTTAAATAATATGGGATTCATGAAATTTAGCAGTAAGTTATTGATATGTGGATCAATTCCAATCTACAGAAATAAGCTAGCTATAGCTAGGCCTCCTTGAATCTGTATAAAGTCATAGACCACAAGACTGGCTTGTCAAAGTAACATTGTTAAGTAGACAATGCACATGTATGGAATTTTCCCCCTATACAGAATTCATTGTGCTACCATGTTCTTTTTTGTTGTTGTCAGGAGTTACATGACTTGCAAAGGGACCCTCCTGCTCAATGCTCAGCCGGACCAGTTGGAGAGGACTGTAAGTTCCACTAAAGGCCACCTCAAATAAACTCCAATTAATGCAGAAATAAAATTGGATGAATATGGACTTGTATGTGATTCAATTGATAGGACATGAAAGGGGAGTTTACCTCTCTTATTTGCATTTTATTATTGTCAATAATTATATGATTTGTTCTAATGTCTCTTTATTTTACAGTGTTTCATTGGCAAGCCACCATCATGGGACCTGTAAGCCCTTTTCTAAATTATCATAATTTTTCTAAATCTTTAGTATACAGTTGTGTCAATATTATGTTGATTGCTGATAGAAGCTCTTTATTCTGCATTGATCCCATTGTTATAAGCTCACCTTTTTGCACCACCAAAGGAACAAGCGTTAATGTTCTCCTTGTCTTACTGTATCGCCTTCTGAGTTACTTACATGATATGCTTGGATGTGTATTGTCTCCAGTAAACCCCAACACATTCTTATTGCTGTAAACAATGACATGTAAAGGGAGGTTGACTGTGGGCTTTAACATTATATGGAGTATTGGATGTTATTTTATGGTTCCCAGCACTGGTTTAACAATTCACCTTTCATCCCACTTTTAGACTGACAGCCCATATCAGGGAGGAGTGTTCTTCCTCACCATCCACTTCCCCACAGACTATCCCTTCAAACCACCAAAGGTTAGAAACACCTCACAGCTCCTTTTATTACACAATATTTCCCTGGGTGTAGAGTACCCTCTACCACATGTGTAGATCTGACTTTGTTTTTTTCTCTGCATGCATTTTCTTTCCATAGGTAGCCTTCACAACGAAAATCTATCACCCAAACATAAACAGTAATGGTAGCATCTGTCTGGACATTCTGAGGTCACAGTGGTCCCCAGCACTTACAGTTTCGAAAGGTAAGACAAACTGGCTTACATTCAGTTTGTAAACCAACTTATTTTTGTCTCTTTTGTACCCTAGTTGCACAATATAAAACAATAAAAGCAAAATGCATCTCAAATACTTTCCTAATTTGTTCTTCAACTGTTGCGCTTGACAATATTGTGATGGTGTAATTGCAAAATAAACTCATCCTGGTTATCTTCACCTTTGTTCTTCCAGTTTTATTGTCCATATGTTCTTTGCTATGTGACCCAAACCCAGATGACCCCCTAGTCCCAGACATAGCACACATCTACAAGCAGGACAAAGAAAAGTAGGTTAACTCTCTCACACACATCCCTCTTTTAGCATGAAAATATGTGTATATACATGACATTTCTTGTTTACAGCTTCTAGTCAATTATAAAATAACATATTCTGAAAGTAGACACTCCTACCAGGATATCTACTATATAATGAAGGCTGCTGAAACCAGACTGGCTAAATGTACGTTTTGGCTGTAGATTGTGCAAGAAATCTTTGTTAAACCTGGTTTTCATTGTCTTTTGTTTTTACAGGTACAACAGATTAGCAAGAGATTGGACTCAAAAGTATGCAATGTAAAGGACTGAAGTTTGAGACGACAAAAGGCTTAAGCAAATTCATTTCCTGGACACCTCTGAAAACAAAGTACTGTTGCCACCACCCCTCATCCACACTGGTTCAAGAAAGTGTTTTATACGGGAAGCACTTTCTATGCCCAAATTAACTGTTTTTATGCTTTGAACTCATTATTTTTTTCTTGTTTGACATTCCCAATGTTATATAAATTATTATTCCGTTTTTGCTGATGTGGCCCATAAAGACAAATTAAATATGAATCCAGCCCCCCCCCCCCCCCCCCCCATCATATAGGTAATTGTTTCTTTCTTTTAGATTTTTATTGTATAGTATCAAGATATACTGAATCTATTTTTATTATTTTGCATTAAAAAGTTAAACCAATATGGATCTTGTCTTTATTGTGATACTAGAGATGAGTTGTATTGTGAATTTCCCATTGTGCATCAACCTTTTACTAACTGAAGTGATTGAAAAGGAAGCTGCACAATGGCAACAACAAAAAGCATCATCTTAGCATATCAGAGGGGAATTAGGGCTCCTAGCACATTGCTTATTATACCTATCCATTTCTTTCAGATCTAGTGTTTTTCTGGTCAGGTCAGCAGAATTCAGAAATTGGCCCGATGCCATTTCTTTACTTCACCACTAGATGACAGCATTTACCTGTGCTCACCTACTACACATAGGAGCACTGCTCAGTTTAATGGCAAATTACACCGATCATTGCAGTTACTTAGTTTTTCCACATCACTACCTCCACAGTTAATGGCATGGTATGTTTGCTTACTTCAGCAACTGTCTGGTTTAATTATTTGACAGGGCATTCTAACATTTCAGAGGCTCTCTAGGCCTAGGTGAGGATAAAAGTTGACCTTATGAACTTCAACATTGAATGATAAAAGATACATGTTTGTTTAGTCCCCTTGGTGTAGCCTATGCACTACCTGAATTGCTGTGGAATAGGCCTATAAATAGCATAAATGTTTCAATTTCACAGAGGCAATTCAACTATCTTTACTTGTATCAACAATGTTCTCTCACTGTATCAACTTGTACAGAAGCAGTTCTTGTAAGGTGGTGGGAAAGGTTCTCGTTCCTGTATTGCCGGGTTCCTGGTGATTATATTTGGCCCCCAAAGTTGTCTGAGCAAAAAATATATAATTTTAGTTGTTGGCCAAAGACTGTAAAATCACCAGGAAATCAGCTCAAGGTGATTTTAATTTAGTTAGGAAATCTGTTCCAAAGTATTCCCATGGATAAATAGATGCATATGTGCTCATATCCCAATGTAATCAAGGTTTGAAATTATTGTTTTTGTCAAGTACTATATCTGTTTGGGCTTCTTGCGGTCAATCTGCAGTGTACATATGATTTATTATGTACTGGACCCCCAACCTGTGGCTGAATGTATTTGGGGACGACTGCCTCAGGATGTGAATTGCTTCCTAAATGTTTCATGAATAGAAGTCTGCATTGGTGGGACACTTTTAGGTAGATCGCTATGTAGGATGATCAAAATCATTCTACCTCAAATCAAGTGATGTTTCGTTCAATTAAGGTAATATCTACATTTTTATGATGAAACAGATTATTATTCAGTGGATGCTACAACCCCGGGGCATTATGAATACCTGGTGATGCCCTACGGTTTGATGAATGCTCCATCCGTATTCCAGTCCTTTGTGAACGAGGTGTTTCGGGACATGCTTGGTCGAGGTGTGGTGGTCTACATCGATGACATCCTGGTGTATTCTGCTACGCGCGCCGAGCATGTGTTCCTGGTTCGCAAAGTGTTGGAAAATGACCTTAATGCCAAGGCAGAGAAGTGTATGTTTTTCCAGCAGTCCGTCTCCCTCCTCGGATATCGCATTACTACCTCAGGTGTGGAGATGGAGGGAGATCGCATTTCAGCCGTGCGTAATTGGCCGACTCCAACCACGGTTAAGGGGGTGCAGCGCTTCCTTGGATTCGCCAACTACTATCGGAGGTTTATCCGGGGCTTTGGCAAGGTCGCAGCTCCCATTACAACCCTGTTGAAGGGTGGGCCGTCCCGGCTCCACTGGTCTGCTGAGGCTGACCTGGCCTTCAGCAAACTGCGGGGTCTGTTCACCTCAGCCCCGGTACTGGCCCACCCCGATCCATCACTACGGTTCGAAGTGGAGGTGGATGCGTCCGAGGTAGGGATAGGCAATGTCCTGTCTGAGGGCGGCAGGTAGCTTAGTGGTTAAGAGCGTTGTGCCAGTAACCGAAAAGTCGCTGGTTCTAATCCCCGAGCCGATTAGTTGAAAAATCTGTGGATGTGCCCTTGAGCAAGGCACTTAACCCTAATTGCTCATGTAAGTCGCTCTGGATAAGAGCGTCTGCTAAATGACAAAAAAAAATAAAAAATACAACCTACAACATCATACCCCTACTTTTGCTGAAGCGTGTCTTTCAGTGTTAATGGCACAGTTAAGTAGATGAAGCCGACACTTTTCTCGTTAGAAATACATTTGTGTCCCACTCTACCTGGCACTTGTGAAATCATCAATAAAACGTTGAAGCTTATCGATAACATTGTCTTTAGATAGTAGATAACACCTTTCACTAGACCCTCTCCATGTCTTGTAAAATGTATTTGGGGACATTCCAAGCTCATGGAGAAAATATAAAGGAGTCTGCACAGCTTTTACTTGATACTGAAACACCTCTATTACCCCCCAAATGATGTCTCCTTTCATAAATGTAGCCTCTTTTCTAGCCTCCCTTCCTTACATGTAATTGGGAAAATCTCAATTGCATAAGCCTACTCCTTGCGTCCTCTCTTCTTGCCTCCTTCTCAAAACCCATTGGATCAGAAAGCCAGAGGTCCCGCCCCTCTGAGGTTCTTCTCCAATGGTTTTGAGAAGGAGGTGAGGAGAGAGGATGCAAGGAGCATGCAATTGAGATTCTCCCATTGTCCTTCCTTTCTTTCCTTTCCTACTCTTATTTCTCTCTAATTCCTTCCAACTTCATCCTATGCTGTTTATGTACTTCAGAAAGTATTCATAACCCATGACTTATTCCACATTTTGTTGTGTTACAGCCTGTATTCAAAATTGATTAAATATTTATTTTTTCACCCATCTACCCACAATACCCCATAATGACAAAGTAAAAACATGTTTTTATAAATGTTTGCTAATTTATTGAAAATGAAATACAGAAATATCTAATTTACATCTCAATGTAATCAATTCACACCCCTGAGTCAATACTTGTAGAATAACCTTTGGCGGAGATTACAGCTGTGAGTCTTTTTGGGCTTAAGAGTCTGTAAGAGCTTTGCACACCTGGATTGTACAATATTTGCCCGTTATTCTTTTTACAATTCTTCAAGCTCTGTCAAGTTGATTGTTGATCATTGCTAGACAGCCATTTTCTAGTCTTGCCAAGTCAAAACTGTAACTAGACCACTCAGGAACATTCAATGTCATATTGGTAAGCAACTCCAGTGTATATTTGGCCTTGTGTTTAAGGTTATTGTCCTGCTGAAAGGTGAATTTGTCTCCCAGTGTCTGTTGGAAAGCAGACTGAAGCAGGTTTTCCTCTAGGATTTTGCCTGTGTTTACATTTACGTCATTTAGCAGACGCTCTTATCCAGAGCGACTTACAAATTGGTGCATTCACCTTATAGCCAGTGGGATAACCACTTTACAATATGTTTTTTTTTTTGGGGGGGGGGGGGGTAGAAGGATTACTTTATCCTATCCCAGGTATTCCTTAAAGAGGTGGGGTTTCAAGTGTCTCCGGAAGGTGGTGAGTGACTCTGCCGTCCTGGCGTCGTGAGGGAGCTTGTTCCACCATTGGGGTGCCAGAGCAGCGAACAGTTTTGACTGGGCTGAGCGGGAACTGTGCTTCCGCAGAGGTAGGGGGGCCAGCAGGCCAGAGGTGGATGAACGCAATGCCCTCGTTTGGGTGTAGGGACTGATCAGAGCTTGAAGGTACGGAGGTGCCGTTCCCCTCATAGCTCCGTAGGCAAGCACCATGGTCTTGTAGCAGATGCGAGCTTCAACTGGAAGCCAGTGGAGTGTGCGGAGGAGCGGGGTGACGTGAGAGAACTTGGGAAGGTTGAACACCAGACGGGCTGCGGCATTCTGGATGAGTTGTAGGGGTTTAATGGCACAGGCAGGGAGCCCAACCAACAGCGAGTTGCAGTAATCCAGACGGGAGATGACAAGTGCCTGGATTAGGACCTGTGCCGCTTCCTGTGTAAGGCAGGGTCGTACTCTCTGAATGTTGTAGAGCATGAACCTACAGGATCGGGTCACCGCCTTGATGTTAGCGGAGAATGACAGGGTGTTGTCCAGGGTCACGCCAAGGCTTTTTGCACTCTGGGAGGAGGACACAACGGAGTTGTCTACCGTGATGGCGAGATCATGGAACGGGCAGTCCTTCCCCGGGAGGAAGAGCAGCTCCGTCTTGCCGAGGTTCAGCTTGAGGTGGTGATCCGTCATCCACACTGATATGTCTGCCAGACATGCAGAAATGCGATTCGCCACCTGGTTATCAGAAGGGGGAAAGGAGAAGATTAGTTGTGTGTCGACTGCGTAGCAATGATAGGAGAGGCCATGTGAGGATATGACAGAGCTAAGTGACTTGGTGTATAGCGAGAATAGGAGAGGGCCTAGAACTGAGCCCTGGGGGACACCAGTGGTGAGAGCTCGTGGTGCGGAGACAGATTCTCGCCACGCCACTTGGTAGGAGCGACCGGTCAGGTAGGACGCAATCCAAGAGTGAGCCGCGCCGGAGATGCCCAGCTCGGAGAGGGTGGAGAGGAGGATCTGATGGTTCACAGTATCAAAGGCAGCAGACCGGTCTAGAAGGACAAGAGCAGAGGAGAGAGAGTTAGCTTTAGCAGTGCGGAGAGCCTCCGTGACACAGAGAAGAGCAGTCTCAGTTGAATGACCAGTCTTGAAACCTGACTGGTTTGGATCAAGAAGGTAATTCTGAGAGAGATAGCAAGAGAGTTGGCTAAAGACGGCACGCTCAAGAGTTTTGGAGAGAAAAGAAAGAAGGGATACTGGTCTGTAGTTGTTGACATCAGAGGGATCGAGTGTTGGTTTTTTGAGAAGGGGTGCAACTCTCGCTCTCTTGAAGACGGAAGGGACATAGCCAGCGGTCAAGGATGAGTTGATGAGCGAGGTGAGGTAAGGGAGAAGGTCACTGGAGATGGTCTGGAGAAGAGAGGAGGGGATAGGGTCAAGCGGGCAGGTTGTTGGACGGCCGGCTGTCACAAGTCGCAAGATTTTATCTGGAGAGAGAGGGGAGAAAGAAGTCAAAGTATAGGGTAGGGCAGTGTGAGCAGGACCAGCAGTGTCATTTGACTTAACAAACGAGGATCGGATGTCGTCAACCTTCTTTTCAAAATGGT